GATGTTTAATGACCTAGGAGTGGCTAGAAAGGTCCATGCTTAGACCAGACTGCATGACAACCTTTGAAACTTATCTGGGGTCACATTTTTATTATTTGGTACTTTTGCAGTGGATTAATCTTCAAAGGATGACAATTATTTAAGTGAATTACTGTCCAAGGATATCACTGAACTGGCAGTTTTCTAATGTTAAAAATTAATTTTACTTGCAAATACTCGCTAAAAGACATAGCATGCTTGGTCAAAGGACTGAAGCCAAGAGCATCTCCCAAACTGAACTATGTTGGTTTTGTGGGCTGAGGAGACCATGCCTTTCATTTCTTCATTTAGCTGAAGTTGCATCACTGGAATTCACTGTGACATATAGTGAGCGTGGGAAGTCTGCTACCTGTGCCATCTGGCCTCATGCTGAATGCCTCCCCATGTACTGCAGAAAATTTCACTGGCATTTTTGAGTTCCAATTATGGAACAGGAGAAAAATTAGGCACTTTTGCATCATCATCATCATCATCATCATCACCATTATCATCATCATCATCATCATCATCATCATCTCAGTTTTGTTTGAGGCTAGCCTTTCATTATCTCCTCTATGGTTTGGCTGTAGGAGAATAGGTAGGGAATATATTCTGTTATTTTTCAGAACATTTAATTTTGGCAAGCTGTGTGGGTGGGCCACTGCTCAAATCATGTGTGTTGTAACATATAATATCATTAAAGATATATTATAGGATTACAATAGCCATCGAAAGAGCTCCCAAATTTCAATATTGAGTGAATCTTAGGGCTAGTCTTATCCCATAAAATGATGATAAAACTAAAATTAAGAAAAATTAATGACATGGAAAGAGACACAACCAGACTACAAGGAGGTTTTCTTTTGTGGGGTGGGGTGGGGAGGAGTAAAGTCAGATATGTTTTCTTTTATTATCTAAGATACAAAAAATCTATGTCAAAAGTAAAGAGATTTCAGCAAAACCTCTGTTGCTGGGCTTTACAAATTATCAGGTAAAAGAAAGGGTAATGTGTTGACTTTCTTTAAACAATGCCACAAATTACAAGGCAGAAGAAGCCCATGTATGTATCTAGGAAAACTCGAACATTTCCCTTTTTGTTCTTCAGGGAATTGACTAGCATCTTCCCCAAAGAACTATAAACGAGGCTGTAAGAAAACAACAAATATTAAGAAAAAATTCTTCTAAACTTCAAGCTGTAGCTTAAATATCCACACAAACAAATGCCATGTGTGGTCTGGGTAGACATCTCTGTGCACATGTGTTTTGTGCATCTGTGTCTCAGTATACCCGTGGATGTGTGTGCAAGTATATTTTTGTATTTGTATGTGGTCCTCCATGTGTTCATGGGTGTTAGCTCATATGCATGTATGTCTACCTATATCGGGGTATAAGTTCTACATGTTTGTCTATGTTTTCAAGCTCTGAGTAGAGAAAGAAAGTGCATGCTTCTCCCTGGAGAGAATCCTGGGCTGATCTGTCCATGAAATCCCAGAGCAGTTTTGCTTCTTGAGTAAGTTATATTTTTTTCTAAATCTTAGAATATATCCTTATCTATAAAATGGCATGTGCAAAATCAAATAACAAAAAGGTCAATCAGTGTGTTTTAGCTATAGTACTTAGTAATTAAGTTAAATTAACTGTATTTACACAAATTTGGATGCATTTTATTGTAGAAATCTCCAATATATACGATTTGCCTTGTAAACAACCAACTTAGGTATCCAAACATATGGTTGTTCCTTGTGAAACATGCACTATTTTAATTATTATGGCAACCCCAACAGCAAGGCATATTTATCTCCACTCTACAAATGGTGAAACAGATTTCTGAGGTCAAGTTATCTGGCCAGAGTCACCCCGGGAGTTTTTGCACAGCTAGGACTCACTCAGCCCAGGGCAACAATATGATGGTTGTGGAATTGGCATTGGCATCCTGGTTTTCTTCCCAGGCAATGTTTGTCCTCTGCTCTGACACACCTATTTTATCTTGTATCCCACCTGGCCCATTATTTCTTATGGACAGTCCACTTGTTCTGCCCTGGGGTAGATACTAGGAAAAAGAAGGAATTTTGGAAAACTCACAGTAGATAGGAAGTGAGAGCCAGCTTTATTAAGAAGTACATGTGCTCACATATCATAAAAACAGCTGGTGGTACTGGGCTTGCCTTGTAAGTCTTTGACTGCTACCCACCACTGCCCCTGGCATCCCTGCTTCCTGGGAAGCAACGGAAAGAGAATCTCTGGGACATGACTGTTTAATCCCTACCTAATCTCTGAAGTCTCATGACTCCTTTAACTCTTAGAATATTGAACTATAAAAGTTTGGTTCCCAGAAACATTATAGTCCTAGGCAGTCCAGGTATTGAGCTATGAAATTCAAGAAGAGCAGGGGGTAAAATCACTAAGGGATTATCTTGAAACTAGTTTGAATATAGTTAGTGAGAAAGAAAGGCAAAATCTTATTTACAAAATTATTATTTTTGCTTAGCAAGATATATAGATTCAATTTTCCTCAGAAAGTTGCTGAGAAAAAACTCTCAATAGAGCCCTTCAAAAGTAATTTAATATTTTTAATAAGGCAAATCTTTGTGATCCTCAACTGTTTAGCCATGAAATCTTAAAATCTGATGAAAGTCTATTTCCAATAAATGCTGCTTTACAAATTTTATTGTGTTTAACAACCTAAGAATATTAATATTCTTTAGACACTTAAATTTAATCATAATAACAAGCATTGGGCTTTTAAAAAGCTGCCTTTTCTTTAGTTTCATGTAATTTGGTTGCTATAAACTATGTTTGTTTTTCTGATATTTTGTGTCTCAAAATTGTAAGTAAGGTCCATTTATCCAGCAACCTGCAAATTCCTGAACAGCAGATCTTATCATTAGGTAGTCATTTAGAAACATAAACCACAATATAGTGTATGAATAAATAAGCATAGTTTACAGGTTTAGCGTTTGATTCATTAATGGTCCTTTAAAAGCTTGGGTAGGAGCGAGACCCACTATTGAATGATGACTCCATGGCACCAGGAAGATGACAGAATCAGTCTCTGTCAGTGAGACACAGGTGGGGTGCAAGTGTCCTAGTGTTTGCAAACCAAAATCCCCTTTCAGGGAAGTATGAGCATCTTTGTAATTGCTTCTCTATACACCTAGTGTAACCACATTATGTCGGCAGCATAACCCCTCTCACTCAGGGTTTAAAGCTGCTCTTTTCCATTGCCAAAGTACGGCCCTAAATTGTTTGGCATGGTTCTGGGGAATCAGAAAAATGTGTGAATGAACCAACTACACAAAACCATTTCACTACTGGAAAAGCAAATTGTGTTTAATTATTTTTTTTAAGTGTGTGCTGTTGGTGTCATTTTGGCCACCCAAACCAAAATGGCTGCCTCCACACATACTTCCTGTCTCTGGCTTCAGCCTCATTGTTCTTCAAGGCAAGCTTATGATACTTTAACTTATGTGTCTCATTTTCTTGCTTGTCCATTAGGATGCAAGCTCCACTTATTTGTCTGTTTCATTTGCTGCCATGTCCCGCACACCGAGAACAATGATGATCACATAGAAAAACTAATGGATAATAAGTATGGCGCATGGCAATTTTACAACTGCTTATGTGTATGAAGCCAAAGGAAACTTGGAGACTAATAGTATAAGGCTCATGTTTTTTTTTTTTAATGTGCCAACTGTAATATGTCAAAGCCCATAAAACAACTTGGTCATTTTCAATGTTTTTCCTATGGGTCTCATCAGCAGTTTTGCCTGTTTAGTTCCTTCTGTGAAGAGAGATGAGAGTTCATGTCTCAGATGTTAATCTTAGATTTATAGAAAAATATAACCTGAAAAGAGGGAGTTTCCACCTCCTCCTATTAGAGATTAAGTGTAAATTACAAATTCACTCTCCTAAGCAGTTGCTTACCATTAAATGCTCGTAAATTCCCAGTGTATACTCAATTGTAAAAAACCACAGAATGATTATAAACAGTACTAATAATAAACAGGCACACAGGTTTTTTTTGTTTTGTTTTTTTTTTAACCACCCTCTGTTCCCACAGCACTTGGGAGATCTGTCAAATGATTCTGTGGCAGATTGGAAAGAGGAGGTTGTGTTAGAAGTCAGGGCTCAATGGCTGTTTCCATATTTCACAGCTTGGTAATCACTATTTAGAAAACACTAGCTTTATTTATTAGCTTCAACAGTGGAATATAAGCCTTTGGGGATCTTTTAAGAGAAAAAACAGTGTGGATGGGGCAAAAGAACTGAAAAACAAGAAAAATTCCAGGGTGATGCTGTTTCCTGAATCTTCAAGATGGACCTTCCTCTGACTTTTTACAACACCCAGGGAGAGGGCAAGGTTTGACAATACAGGAAAGGGACACTTCTTTTTGCATGCAAGTTTTTCAGGTCTCTGATTCCTTTGGTTTGAAGAACAGATCATTTTGGGGATTTTCCTAAATAAAACCCTGCACTTAGCTTGCATAGAGTGAAACAGGATGTGCTTTTATTTGCACTTCTAGAATGAGTGCAAATGTGTATTTGTTAAATACTGTTGAAGAGAGTGTAAAGCGATGCAGATGGTAGTGGTAAAAGTCTTACTATTTTCCTTTTCCTCCTAGGATTTTATTCCTTGCTTTCTGAGCTTCCCTTGGCCACTTTATGCTGCTTTCAGGGAATCTTCCAGATGAAGCCCCATAATTGGCTATCAGTGAATTGGAGACACAAAGACTTTAAATTTATCTTATCTGTTTTCAGAGAGAATGAGGTAGTATAGATAGAGAAGAATGGTATGTTTGAAGACATTGGCTTCATTTAGACAGTCTAATTTAGTCTGCAAAATGTGCATACATGTGACAAATACATGTAGTTCTCTTAATTTTACCCTTCTTGGTGCTTTGCTGTTGTAGAATAAGAAAACTCAGGGGCAGAATAAGAAAATAGGCCATTTTAACCCACCATGTGCAGAGAAAGGTACTCACCAGCACTGACAGTGATAGCCTCAATGAACTGTTCTCTCCAGCTGTTGGTACCCACCACAAGGGCCAGGTTTGTCTTCTTAATGAGTTTGTCCACCGTACTCTAGAAAGGTAGAAAGGAATAATATAATAATTGATAAACTTATTAAGGCCTCGGGAAAAATCTAAGGCCTTGTTGATTTGGAAATCTCAGAGTTACGTAAAGTCTAGCAGATGTTAGGCTCAGAACAAGAGTATTGACATCAAACATTATTACAATTATGCAAACAAGCATGGTTTTTGTTGGAAACATTCTGAATTGGAAACTTCTTCGCAGCAATACAAGCTTCCTTCACTGACTAATGGCCAATGAAGAATAGCCTCAGTGTTTGGAACAGCAGCTGTTGCAAAGGCCCGTCCATTCCCCTTGAATGCTTTGTAAACTTGTTTCTCTACCGGCCTCATCTGTAGGGCACTGTCTGGAACTGAATTAATATAGGTCCTGGGAACAACCAGAAGTGACTACCAGATTTTGAATCTATCCTTTTGTTTATCAGAGAAATGCAGCCAGGTAGCAGAGTCTTAAGGTTGCTTGCTGCATAATCATCCCTAGTTTTGTCACTTCGTGATGCCTATTAGAGATTTCTACTTTCACCTATTCTTGTTGCAAATAAGAAAAAAAACAAGGCAAGATAAGCAAAGGTCACTTCTTATGCTTTAGTGCATATTGCTAATAACCTTGCACTGAATTTCTCTGCTTTACTAGCACTGCACTGTATGTCTCTTAATTTTCTTTGGGACTTTTAAAGAACTTAGTTTTGTACAATTAGTTCTCTCTAGATTTCTGAATACAGTTAATGTAATAACAGGAGCAGCTAAGCATTCACAAGAAAACTAAGTAAGCAGATGCACTCAAAGCGCTACAACAAACCATGGCAACTACAGGGAGAAGGGTCATTTCCAGGACTGAGGCTGCTCTTCCAAGAGAAACTACTACATTGACTAGTTTACTAAGCACCCACACTTACTGTCAGAACATCTTCGAATTTCCACTAATTGCAAAGAGGCAGAAAACATGCATTATTTGTTTTAGGTCAGAATCTGTACGTTTCATGCAGTGTTTCTGAACTGGCTATAGTTTGAGTGAGAGGATTTTATCAGCTAACAGGGAGTGAGGAAAGTGTGATATGAGGGGTTTGTATGAGAAGTTGAAGCCAATTTATAATATTAAGCATGTTAGTTCAAGAAGATTCGCTGGAAGTGACTTGAAACCTTGAAGGGGTAATAAACACAAAGGGCCCATCTTCAACTGGCTCACTCTGTATCTGGAGTGTAATTCTTGGCTGGATTGTACGTCCTTAGGGCAGTGACGTTTCAGCTTCTAGCCTTTTGTGTAGAACTGCTGGTGACCCTGATAACAGCTGTAACAGTCACTGCTGTTGGGCACAATAACACGAACCACGTGACAAGCATCTATCTGTCTTTTCTCTCTCAACTCAGCCACATCTCAGCATGCACTCAGAGCATCTTGGTTGATGCCAATTCAGAGTGCTGTGTGGTGTGTAACAAGAAATGACCTTGATTTTTTCTGAAATGTAGTGGAAACTTGGGGAAGCTCTCTCCAGAGGGGCATTTTATACTGAAGCCACAGTAGAAAATCTTATCATCTGGGGGATAAATAGTTGAACAGATGAACAGTCCTAACAGTAAGACACAGACTTCCTCAAGAAACATCTGCTAAAGAACAAATTTTTAAGTTAAACTAAGCTTAACATTTACATAAGTGTAAAGCTGATGGTAGAGTTTAAACTTTGTTTTATTTTAATCCTGGAGGTTAACAGTATAGCCAGGGTTCTTTCTAGGGCTTAATTTGCTTGCATATATATTTTTCCTTGACCTATGGGAGAAAGGGGAATAAAAAAGATGAATTTGAAGTTCAGACACTCAGCTTGGACATTGCTCTCCACATTTACCTGGAGGGTTCTTAAATGCTAGCAATCAGCTTTCTGCTACACTAAATTTCAAGAGACTACGGAAAACCTTACCCTCAGCAACTGTGTTGATAAAATCATGGACTTAGTCACAGCATAGTAAGCAAGAACTCTAGATCAAGCAGAGAGGATTTGTGAAGGGTCACCCAGATTTGGGTTTCCAGTGCAATTCTGGGCAGTTTGAACAATTTCTTTAGGTATATTTTGTAAAAGGAAATTTCTTAAATGAAAAATATATCAAAATTGTTAACTGAGGACACTTCAAAAACATGCTCCCAAGGTGCCCTTTAGGTTAATGGTTAACTGTATTAAATGGAAGAGAAGAGAGGAAATTGTCCATGGTAGCTATTCTAGGAGAATAAGTATCCCCTAAAAACTGGACTTTTATAGGGAGACTGGGGAGAATTTCCAGTGCTCAGAACACTGGAGTAGTGGCCAGAGAGGGCTTTGGACCTAGATGGCTTTCTCTACACAGTGTTTTCTAAATAAAGTCACTGTGATTGCTTTTATCATCATGGATATATGGAAAGGAAAGGTTGAGGGCTGTCCCATAAGAGAAAACACACCATTCCCCACGAGAACTCTGGGAAGAGTGGGGGGCAAGCTTCCTGTAGAAATACCAACTCACAGACTCTCTGGGAAATTTGTGTATGTTTCATTCATGTATGTATACATAACAAGCCACATTTCAGGACTCAAAACTGAGCTTCGGTGGTGGAGGTCTGTCTGGAAATCATTTGTTCTAGTGTTTGGCCCATCCCCTTTTTGCTATGGGAATAAGTGAAAGGAAGCTAATAGATATATACTCAGTGGCCTGGAGGAGAAAGTTTAATTGTTTTTATCATTAAAAAATCCTTTGATTGCCAAGACTATTTTCTTTTCACCTGTCTCCTATCAGTCACTTCAACTTGTGAACTAAATTTAAAAATGAATCAATGGACCCAGCTAGAGGATAAGAAGCCACTATTGTGAAGTATCTAGATAAAGTACTGAGACTCCTAAGTTGGTGGCCTGCTTCTCACTTTTGGAATCTTCATTGTAAGAGTTTGCTTTTGAAACATAAGTAGGGAAAATACTGCTCTGCTTTGGGTTTGTATTTTGGAAGCCAAAAGAGGTTACGCATCTGTTCACATTCCATTGTGGAACTGAAGTGTGTCTCTGTTAATCTCTTCTCTGATATTAGGACTGTGTGAGTGGAAGGGATGAGAGGTGAGGTGGGGGCAAAGGGAACAGCTAAGGACTGACAGGAAGTTTCAAGGCAAAGTGTTATGCTTGTCCCAAGATCCTTGTGTTTAACTTCTTAAAGAATAAGTTTCATCCTGTAGAAACTTTGGAATCCAATTTTATCAGATCAACTACAAACTCTCTAGGTGCAGATACTGTACCTTCCATATGGTGACTAAAAGAGTCTAGATTTGAAGGGAGTGACTAAATAAAATAAGAACTTGTTGATGGGACAAGACTGCTATCTGTCTTCCAAAACAAAAGCATCCTGAGTTTTCAGCAGCATGAAAGCTTTGCTTTTGAAAGATTTATTATCTTTTCCAAATAGACCTTGGTTTCTTCCACATAACAATCTTTTGGAATCTTCCTTTGTGTCCTTGTTGCTATTTCTTCAGACAAAGGTTTCCCTGTGGGGCATCTCTGACCCTGTGCAATGATGGTGCCACCTGCCAGGTCCTAGCTCTTATGCTGTCTGGTTTATAGCACTTCTCACTTCCTTACTAACTCCATAATTCCACTTGGCTCTGAAGGCCTCTCAAAGAAAATGCCAGTTATATCTGAAATTACATCTTCCTCTCCTTTCAGGTGGATCTTAAAGCTGAGGCCCAAACCGTGAACATGCTGGCCTCAGGTGGCAGGCCTCCCAGATGGGCTGTGTTCCCGGCATACCTTGAATTCATAGGACTCCTCAATGATCACTTCCAGCTTGGTGTGTTCTCCCAGGATGGGGCGCCCCAGTTCTGCAATGCGCCTCTCCTCTTCCTCTTTGCTGGTTAGCGGCTGTTTGTCATCATATTCATCTGGGGAAGGGAAGGCAAGACAGTGAACAATGTAGTCTTTCTTCTTTGGCAATCTTTGGATCTCACTACAAGAAAACCAAGGAGGTGGGAAGCTCTAAAGGCCTACTGACAGTCTTCAGACAAGATCCTGAGGCTGAAAGGGAGAATTGGATAGACACTCGACAAACTGGGAAACATAACACTGTGATAGCAGATGATTATAATGCCATATAGTCTAAACTGATGCAAAAAATACAAACGAGGAAAAGAATTGCATGGGGTGTGTCACTGAGGAAGACCCAGCCCGCAAGTTTGTAGTGCTGACTCTTTGTACATGTTCCTCCACGACCGAACCAAAGGGAGACATAATTAAAAGTCCGAGAGAGACCCTGAGGGATGCAAGAGTTTGACCTCCTCTTCTCCACTTTCTAGAGGCAACAGAAATTGCTTCAGATCCAAAGAGAGGATTGAAAGGAAATTCTGATTTATCCTCTCACTTGCCAACAGTACTCATCACAAATTAAGCAGTAAAACATCCATTCCATGTTTTCATGAGATGCCTGGGCTCCAGAGCTTCCTCTCTCTGATGCAGAGCTGAAATGTGTTAGGAGAGCCCTGATTATGTTAATCGTAAACAGGGAGGGTGAGGATGAGGCCTTTGGGGAGTTAATACTCACTCACCAAGTGAGCATGACTATTTCCGGAGCCATCATGTTGTTGACACTCCAAGAGGGGCTAGTGGGAGCTGAGGAATTGTTAATGGACCCAAGAGTCCATTAATAAAGGAAAGATCACAGTTGGCTCTCTCTGCATGAAGATCATTAGGATAAATCTCAGACCGAATAAGGCCACAAAGATGTGGAGGGTAAATGATCATTCTGAAGTCACTTTTATTCTTCAGGCCCAGGATTCTAGAACAAGACAAGCTACTTTCTATCAGTGACAAGTGGAATGAACCTCACTGGGAGCGAGTGATGATATGGAAAAAAACTAAAAAACTCAGCTGATATTTCCTGCAAGAGGATTATGTTGTCTGAGGACTGATCTAAAGGAGTGGGGTGTCTTACCCAGGCTTCCTGGTAAATGTCTTCTGCATTTGAGACATCGGCTTCTTCAAACTTGCCATACCTCCCATTCCCTCTGAAGACCCATGGCTTCCCCTCTGGCAAAGGACCCTGCTATGGTGGCTGTATTAGTTGCTCTAGCACTCGATGTAGCAAATAGTTCCATTTTAGGCCATTTGCTTACTGAGAGGGAAGGGAATAGATGAGCAAGAGCACTGCCAGCGTCTGTATTATAGTGTCAAAACTAATGAAAAGTTAAAGGCAGAGTGCAGCATTTTGATTACTTTTTAGTATATATTTAATAATTTCTTCTTAAAAGGATATTTAAAAATTGGCCTTCTTGTTTCCAGTGATTACAGAAGATCAGAGAAATTAGATGAAGACTAAAAAGTTATTTCAGACTGGCCAGGAACTGCTGAATGTTAACAAAAGAAAGAGGCAAGGAGATTAATTTTAACCATTAAAGTGGTAATTTTTAATAGTAGAATTGGGAAGGTAGGATTCAAGGAAAAGCAAAGGTTTCTAGTTGGGGTCTCTAGGATTTGTAAACTTGTGTATCAGTTAAAGGCATTGGCTGAAGTAGTTTATCCAAAGCTCAAAACAATTATATTTTGATTCCTACTACTTTCTGATCATTGAACCCATGATAATGTTATTCTTAGTATTTGTAACAGCTGGTAATATTACTGCCTTTGTTCAAAGTTTTGTCTGAACATGGATGTCTTGAAGATTTGTGTTCAATAAGCATTATTTTCCCAGAAGAAGAAATATTACAACTTGGATATCTATTTGAATTTTACAACAATTTAGGGAGACTATTTATTATGGCCACTTTTCTGTAGTTTACTTATAAATGACAAAATGCTTTTAATGGGGTTCAGGGTAATTTAAGTCAAAAAACAGAGAAGTTTTGAAAGACAAGTGATGTGGTAGGACTTTTTGTGTAGAACTTCACAAAATGCACTAGTTTTGGAACATGGTATTAAAAAAAGGTACATGGTCATAAATAAAATCAAATCACTCAATGAGTGAAAGGTCCTTTGCTTTTCAGAACTTCAGTCCTTCTTATCAAGAACAGATGCTTAGTTTGATGGTCTTAAGTTTATAACCTGTCTCTAACATTTGTGTTACTACCACTTTAAGATAAAGTAGTTCCCATGACTGGAAACTTTGACAATATCTGGCTAGATTTTCATTACATTTCTCCACCGTGAAATTATTTTACCTTACTTTATTCTAATGAAAAATTACACTAATTTTCAGTCTATGATTGATATTCAGTCAAAAAAAACATTGTAAAGGAAGTATGAGAATGGCAAAAATGTAGGAAACATTGTATTTCATATTTCATTACATTTCATACAGGTTTCATCCCAAACTAAGGAAAACACAAAGTTTCTACCACTTTCTACTTTCTTATTTCAAACCACACTTTTATCCTATGTATGTATCCACCTGGAAATGCTTTCATATCGCCAAGTACTTATATTCTACATATCTTTCTTCACATATGAAATATCCTGACTGAAAATATGGGATTTAGAATTAGAACTCTAATCTTATATTAATTCCTTAATATTCACTGTGTTTATCCAACATGAACACTCTAATTTCCTGTTTTTAAATTTTTAATTACTTTTGCATACTGTTATGCTGCCTATTTAGATGCCCCCTCAAAGCCTTATGTGCTTGTTGGGGAGGTTTTTCGGAGGTGACTGGATCACGGGAGCACTCTACACATGGGTTGAATAGTCCAACAATTCCCTTATAGCTAAATGTGCTGTGAGGAGGTAGGGCCTGGATGGAAGAAGCAGATCCCCGAGGGGCACAGCCTGGAAGGGTTTATCTCTCTCCCTGGCTTCTCCCTTTGGTTTCTGGTTCCCCAGTGCCATGGGGTGAGCACTTTCCCTCAGCCAGACCCTTCCCCTTATGCCTTCCTGTCTTGGAGCCAGCCAACTATGGACTGAAATGTGAGCCAAAATGAACCTCTCTCTTTTCTAAGTTGAAGGTGTCAGGTATTTTGTTCCAGTGAGGAAAGGTACTAAGACACATACAAATACCCAGTGCATAAACTTGATGAGATAGCACAGCATGTCTCATTGTTCTGCAAATGGTTCTTACTTCCTCAGGGCCTATTACAATGTGTAGAATGTAGTATTTGTTGTTTATTAGTAAAGTCTTTTATTTGCTCTGTCATTAAAAAAAGATATTTTGTTACATGCCATTGCACTCCTATAATATGAAAGTATCAGGAATTTATGGCCTGTGGGGAAGAAAGGCATATAGAGGAACAACTTGTAGCATAGTGTACTAAGGGCTGAAAGATCATGGAGAGAGAAGCAAACTGCTTTGCCTTGGCCTTGAAGCTGGCCAGGTGGACATGTGGTCAGAATGGCTAAGGGGCAGTGGGTGAGGAGATGCTTGCCAAGCAGACAGAAGTCAAAATACAAGGGCACAGTCATGGCTATTTTCACTTGATAAGTATTATGAACATTTCAGAGACAGTTATATAAATCTATATTAATACTGATAAATTAACATTTATGCTCCAGATTTTTGACACTGGCAAAGAGGAGAGCTGAGTCTTTTCTTTTTTAAGTGTCCTCTCTTTAGATACCTCTTAGTGAATAAAGAAATGGTTTAACAGCATTTGGAGGGATCAACTGTTACTTTTAAAGCTCATTATATTTTATTGAGAAGTCAGGAATAAATTACATAAAATTGTAGTGTTCACCAACTAAAATAATTTAGACATCAAATGCAAAATTAATAGCCACTGATAAAAAGTCAATATTGAAATGACAAAAAGCAATCATGTGATAAAATCACAAGTGTGGAGATCTCACTTCTTTTGAGTGAATGATTTTTACAAACAACAAAGCTAATAGGCACTTGGGATTGGGAAAGGCAGAATTATGAAAAAGCTGCTTCTACTGCTTTCTGGTTCAAGCTGCATTTTGAAGCAGCATCACTGTGAGCTTAAAAAGGGTGAGAGAGAGAATTCTGTTAGGGAACAATACAATCCATGTGGGCTATCTCAGGGTAGAGATCAGTATTTGAAGAACTTCTGTTGATAGTCTTAAATGTTGTCATAATTTTAATCTTAACATAACATGTAGAATTCAGAGAAGGGGACAAGGTCAGCAGTGGAAAAAATTGCTTAAGATTATTTTGATCCTTCAATCAGAACTATGCCATCAGATTTGAAAGTAGAGGCCATTTACCAGTTTTAAGTACCTGGCCAGTCTTTTTGATTGGCCCAGAAAGACTGGTTCTTTTATTTGCTGAGGAATATTCTGGAACAATTTTGTAGTCATGGCTCGGTATCATGATTATTGGTAATTGGATGGAGTGTGGGCTGTGAGGATGAGGAAAGTCCCACTGGGTCCAATAGAAATGCTTCCACCATCATGTCCAGTGATGGGCAACAGTATTAAGTGGAAAGCAAACATCCTTGTCCTCATCCAGTGACTTAGTGGCAGGATATGATATTCATGCTCTACACCCAGAGTAGATCTTCTATACTTAGGTCATCTTCTAATCACTACCCACGTTCCTTTATTTCTCCTATGGCAAACTCCACACATGTATTATCTGCTCATCAGGAATGGAAGACTGTGAGAAGAGATACAGCTTGGCTTCTAAAAGAATTTCATTATTCTTGGGAGGAGAGACTCATGTAAGAAGAAATTTTTGCAAGAAATCCAGAACATCCTGAAACTTGAGAAGGAGAGGGGAATGGATCAACTTCTCTGTAGATCCATGTTGCCTCCTCCTTCACAATGCCTTCCACTGTGGCCTGATGTAGTTGTTTTTGTTGCTATCCCATGAGATCCCCAGCTGCCAGGGAAGACACCCCATTACTTAGAGGGGACAGGGGCTACAATATAGGAATCTAATGTCTAAAGACTCAAGGAATGTTTGACAACTGTAGTTTTCAAGGCCCGTAAAGAAATGAATACCTGCAATGGTGATTACAGTAGAGGGAATCGGATGTTCTCTAGCATGAACTTTCCTGAAGACAGGTTGGCCTAGCAAAAGGACAGTCAGAAAATTAGCAGAATGGATATCAAACCTTTGCAGAATTAGTTAGCTAAACATCACACTCAGACTGCAGGCAATGTTAGTTTGAGAACTGAGTGGTGTTCTTCACCCTGCGAGGGTCACAAGAGGGCGCTCTGGTGGTTACTGATGGAGGTTACTGCCCACAAATGGGGCAAGTGCTCCATGAGGCAAGTCACATGCCCATGTGTAGGGTATAGTGAGATTCCTGCACGTGTCCAAAATACAGTATCAGGTCTTTCAAATTACTACTTTCAGAGGCATTGCCAAACAACAGAAAACACTTGATGCAGTGACAGATGTCTTGGTTTTGAAGTTTGTTGGCACCAGCATTTCAGACTAGAGTTCATTTCTGTAGTTTCCAACATGGAAAATGGGGATAATGGTGCACTCTCTATTCACAGATTTTTCTGAGTGAAGTAACTCTGCCATTTGTTTGCCATCTAAATTTGGGCAAGGCATTTCTCCACTTGGAGAGTCAGTTCTCTCAGTTATAAAATGAAGCAAGCTTGAAGGGGTTTTGCTCCTCCCTCCTATACATTGGAGTAATGAAAATGTTTTCAAGTGTCAAAAGTTTCAGTTTGATTTTCTCAAAATACACTTCATTAAGTCTGTTACATGCACATATTATGAATAGAGGAGTAAAATTAAAGAGGTGTATTGAACACTATATAATCCTAAGACATATAGTTTAGATCTTAGAAATTTTAGGGGAATCAAGTATATCTCTCTTCCTCTGCATATTGAACCAGAATACTGAATTTTGTTAAAATATCCCTATTTATATGCCCCTTTGGGGGTCTCTCTCCTTTTCCATTTGGCTAGAATTCATAATGATGGCATTTATATGATATAGCTAGACTTTGGGTTGAAAAGGAATTTATTCAAGATGCACATAGCAATAAAGGGATTGGGAGGGAGGAAACAGAATAGTGCTGGGCTTAGGACAGTCATCATGTAGACTATTATTCAAAATAGGAGGGTTGGCTGTGACTCTTGGATGTGTGTTTTGAGGTAGTAGATTAATCTCTTTGAACTTTTTCCCATGGCTATAAGTAAGAACAATAAAATCCATGATAAAATGATAGTCTTTACAAACTCTAGTGAGCTATAACTTATAGGATATTATCATACAACTGGGAGGTTATGGGACAAAGATATCATAGATCCAAATAAGGGCCTTTCAATATGGCAAGTTCTAGAACAACAAGTAAAGATTTGCAAATTCCCAAAGCACCTCCAGAACTTAATGTCCACCACTAATGAGATTTCTAAAATAATTGTATTAGGCTGTGGACCAAATAGCCTTTTCACTTTCCAAATACTCTGTTTCAAATTTAGAGATTCACTCCTAGCTATAACAAGCCCGTGTAAATGCTACAGGCAAAGTCCAAGAGCTAGATTAATTCTTCTCTTCTTTCCCTGCATCTCAAAGCCTTGATTTCAATGCTTCATATTGACTTCAAAAAAAAGCTCTTTAGGGCTTTAAAAAGCTGCTTTTTACTCAAAGTTTTAGAACTTTCCTCAGGAACAACAGTAGAGAGTAAATCCTGGGCATTCTAGTCTGACTCCAGAGAAGAAGTGAATGTAAAGCAGCACAGTTTCTAGTTAAGGAGAAATGGACAGGGCAATGCAGAAATTTCCAGAAAGTTCTGGAACATTTTCTTGTTCTATGTATATTAAATTCAAGTTCTGGAGGGGAGGGGGATAATAATAATTGAAAAATTGTTATTACAGATTAAGTTTTCAAGAAAAACTTAATGAACTGCCTGAAATGGTAGAAACTTTTGGAGCAAGTGATTTTGTTATCTTGGATGTAAGATGTAGCCAAAGAAGGGAATGATCAGTGTTACTGGACAGACAAGATGGAACTCGAGGTGAGTAATTTTTTGAGAAAAGAAAACTAGGATCCAATTACCTGAGATACTCAAAGAAAGATAGATCAAGAGAGCTAGAAAGAAGAAGGCCTCAAAAATGAAATCTTAACATATTCAATGATAGAGAAAACAGGACGATAAAAGATATCAAGGAATTTTACCCAAATATTTTTAGTTGAGTTCTCATTACCAGGCTGCATAAGACTAAAGATGCTGTCAAGTAATGTACTATTTTCACAATGGTTGACTTTAGAAAAATAATTACTTCCATGAAGTGTTGAAGGCTGGCTTGCCAGAGTTCCACTTTCCTCCATCTCTCAAGGGTGACTAATTCACCCTTGAATGACAGAATGAGAATGTTTTCAAGAAGTTTTTAATGAGTTAAAATTATGGAGGAGAAGAAGATAAAAATTTAAAAATAAGTGTAAGTTCCTGTTCTTGGATTCATAAATACTTTCAGTGGTCTAGAATTGGAGAGCTAGGAGAGCTCCAAATGAATCAGATTTAAGGGATTCTTTATGAGAACTTTTCCTGTTTAACATTTTTACGCTTTCAAAGTCTGTGTGTCTGAGAATCTGTGAATTATTCTGTCATTAAATGCTGTATCTTGAGGAAAGCAGTGGAAAACAATAATTTATGTTAAACTTCCCATATTTAGAAAGTTCCCCTTTGGGTAGAATCACTTTGGAACTATGTTTTTGAGTTAACATAACCCAACTCCAACCTTATGTTTTGATTATTAGAAATTTTTATAGTATTTCTTTCTAAATATATTTTCAGCTCTTTGATTTAAAATTTTTGATATTCACACAATTCACTGGAAAAAGCTATACAGGCTATAGGATATAGACCATTAGACACATCTTCAACCTGAAGTTTTAGACAGATCATAGCTATTATTTGATATCTAGCTCCCTTTCTAAATCTGCATAGATTATTGTGAAAGAAGATATATAGGGTCATAAGAAGATTCTTGTAGGAAGTATCTTCCATTTGTGCACAAGAAAATAGCTTTAGAGATGTGCTAAATTATGCAATAAGCAGGCTGATGCCATTTGGAATTTAGGAGTTTTAAGCTTTTTGGTTGGCCTTTAAATTTTTAAGGAGCACTTTGTAATGCACCTGAAGTGGCAGAAATATTATTTGTTGCCATGTAATTAATACCAAAACTAAGTTCCCAAAGAGGGTCTCAGATTAGGAAGGAAAGGGACTGCTCTGTCCTTTCCCAACCTAGCATTTTCTGTTATTAGGATTCTAAGCTTGGGCCATGAAGCAGTCTTGTGTATCACCTGTTTTTATGAGGTCAAAAATTGTATGTAGCATCTATCAGAGTATACTGTAAATTTGTGAGTAAATTAGCCAGTATCAAATGTGAACAGTTATAAATTCTACATATGAATTAGTTTTAGAAATAAACACAATACAAACATATTGTTAATTTGTAAAATGTTAAATTGTGCAAAATCAGCAAGAGCACACCATGTATCGTAACTAAATGTTAATGCTGGTTACAATAGATGTGCATTTGGGGTTGGTTTAATTTTAAGAATATATGAGGGGAAAAGGAACTTTTAAAAAATTGTCTTACCATACAGATATTCTCCTTTGTTAAAGCAAATAAAAGTAAGAAACCATTAAAAATGAAATACATTGAGAGCAGACAATAAAAATTAAATTAGAAAAGATTAGATTCCAAAAATTCATACCTGTTATTGTGAAGCCACCTAAAAAAGAAAAAAAAGGTAAATGTTACAATTTAACTTATACTCAAAATAATAAATACCAGTGAATTAGATTGTTTGGTAATTCACCCAAAGTATGAAAACTTGCCAAATTATATTATTATTAAGAAGAATTTGAAAACATCCATCTATGATGGAATCACTAATTCTTTAAGATTGTGAAATACACTGCAGAAACTTAATTCTTGTGCATAACTAGGAAATCATTGATCTTTTATACAGGTTATACTAAATTAAAAATGTAATATAAGTATTTTGGTATTAACTAAAACAAGGTCAGTGGCCCTTAACAACAATCTTACTAGAGATGAAAATCAGAACACTACTGTGTCACCTAACAGAAATGGAAAACAAACTAGAAAAAAATGGAAAGGAAGTGCAAGAAATGAAATGCTTACCAAGCTCATTCAATAGCAGGGCTGTGAAGGAAACAGACAAAGACAAACACAGAATAAGAGACCAGATGAATAATGAAAGGAAGAGGAATATCAGCAGAAAGAAATCCAGGCAGATTTGATTTGAGTGGTAAAAATCCATTGCTTAAAAAATTGGTGCACCCCAAGAAAATGTGTTGGGAATATTTCCAAGTAAACGATCCCAACAGAAATTTCTGCAAGTGTGTGTGACTGAAAGAAAAATAATCCCCATATATATCATTTCTTCATATTTAGGAAGACATTTCTACTACATATGTTTACATATAGTATATATAGCTATAAAATATAGTAGAAATATCGTATGAAGTTAAACCTCGCCTTGATTTGAAAGGGTCTTCCTCATTAAATATTGCCTGGAAATTAGTGAATCTGGCATTTGAAAGTCTTAAATTACCCAGAATCTTAGCCATCATACATTTTAATCAATAAGTAAAAAGATTCTAAGAAATTCTGTTTTGGCTGCCCTTCCTGGAAGGAGACTTTGGACAGGGGTAAAGTTTTCTCTCTCTCTCTGTCTGGACATGCTATTTGGATGATATGTTGGTCCCAAGAATTGTTTGTTTAAAAAATGCTTGAATCCTAAGAGGGGCAGGAATTGATGCTTTCATGGGTGTCCTTACCAGTGACTTCTGAGCAATGTGAGATAACTAGAATGCTTCCCATGGACATACAGCTCCACAGAAACTGACAGGGTATGGAGGGTGGAGTAAATACATATAATTGTCTTTAGGTTATGTCATTTAAAGTTAGACTGGCCTGAACCACTTTGATTTAGAAAAACTACCTGGCTAACGGTACTGAACAAATTCCTTCCAGTGTTGTAGAAGGGAATGTTACATTTACATCTTCAGGTGAGTTTTCCCTCTAATGGTAGTAAAATTAGAGGGTAATTTCTAACATAAGTCAGTAATTCCCTTATAGCGACAGGAAACCACTTGGTGGGTGCAAAAATGGATAACACCATCAAGGAATTTTAATTTGCTTTTAAGTGAGAACATATTTTACTAAAATGACAAGAGAACTTTACCCACGATACTCTACATTGAGATATAAGACAGTTCTTTGGAGGAATAGTTCTAGAACAAAGTGCTTTCTCCTGGATGATTTTAGGCATTTTTTGTGTGTGTGCTGCCATTTTTAGATTTAGTTCACAATATTGGATATAAACAGCTGGCATTGATTTTCAGGTTTTTATACATTTTAATCTCATTTTTGTAAGACATCAGTGGAAATTTCTGAAGTCTCTTTTCCTTCCATTTACTGCCTATGGAACTTATTAAAAAAACTGTATTAAAGTGGTCCCAAGTGGGCCAGGGATTTAGCTCAGTGGCACCACACCTGCCTCTCAAGCGCAAGGTCCTGAGTTTGATCCCCGATACCAAATAAATAAATAAATAAATAAATAAATAAAATGGTCCCAAGTGCTCCTTTTTCCATCATTCCAAAAACTCCTGTTGCCATTTTGAACTTAAGTCAGGGACGTACACTTTTAAAAAATCCCTGATGAACCATAAGGTCAGTGAGTTCTCATAAATATGAGATTAAATTCCCTCAAACGTTGGATCTACATAGGAATTAGTTTTATATATTTTATTATTATTTTCTTACATGTAAAAGTATACATTTTTTCAATACAGTCCATTTAATTATTGCCTATACTACTCTCACTAATTATCCATATAGAAATAATGAGATATTAATATACAGTATATTGCTAAATGTACATATATTAATTAAATCAACAGGATTTCTTTTAAAATGAGTATCATGAGAGGATAATTACATGAAGTCCTGGAAACAATCCTGAATACAAGATTATTTGTAAACCTGACATAAAATTCCTTTTCCCTTTTATCAAATATAGACCATATGAAATAGATAGGAAATTAGATAGGAAAGAAAACTAGCTGCTTTTCAAATATTTTCTAAATATAATTGTGAATCAACAAAGTGTACTTATAAGGATATTGTGCATATTTTTAATTTTACTATATATGTTAAAATTTATTAATTCTGTAAAGCTTAAAATATTTTGGAGAATAAGGTTGAATAGGCCTTCAGCAAAGGTTAAATTGTAACTAAAGAAATATATCCTTCTAACTAAAGAAAATTGATCTGAGTATGGTTTCATATACATGGCACTTTTTAATTGTCATATTTGATATGAAAAACATCATGCCAAAATAAGCACTAGAATATTGATAAATCTACTCTTTAAGGATCTTTGTTTTCACTAATTTCTTTTAAACAATGAATTCTCTAAAGAAGCCTAATTATTGATTTCTTCTGAAATTTCTTCTTAGTTGGCATTAGACATGTGTGGTATTTACTAATAGGTATTAAGCAGTTTTTCTTTCTTGCCATCTTCACTGAGGTATAATCGATAAAATAATAAATAGTGCTCATTATTAACATTTGGGGGTGATTTAATGGTTGCAACCACATTTTAGAACAAACCGCAAGTTGTTCCTTTATTTTTTATACCATCATTTGTTAATTATAGAAATCTCTTTTAGTACTTATTAAATCTTGTCGCAATCAAGGTTAGTCAGCATTTTTTGAGGAAACTGTGCATTGCTTGGTGCACTTGTGAATTAGGGAAGGGAAATGAACCTGCTAGTTTCAAAGGCAATGGTGTTTAGCACTTGGAAGCTGAGGAAGAGGAGAGAGTTAAGTGTGAGAGTAAGGAGACATGGAGAGAAAAGAGTACAATTTCTCGCTGGTATGTCTTTGTATACTCTCACACCTTTCATTCCTCTTCTTATCCATTTTGGTTCCTCAAGCACAAGGGAGAAACTGCACTCTTTCTCATATTCCTCACGGTCAAATATTCTAATGGTAATGATCTTCCTGTGGGAACACAAGACAAAGGCAAAACAAATGGTTGGAGTCACACGCTCATGCTGCAGATGTCCACCAAGCTGGATGTTACTGTGATGTTACAGAGGGAAAACCAGCACCACATGGTCCTCGTGAAGTATGTAAAAGGGCATCTTGGTTGCTCTCAGCTGGCCTCCGTGAAATTTTATGTGCTAATGCATCCCTTGCACAAATGCTTCCTGCTTTTGTTAGCAGGGAGAAGGTATCTCAAATTAAGATGGTAAATCAGGAAGTTGGCTTCATTCTTACACAGCATGTCATGTGTACCAACCTTCTGAGCAGCGGAGGCTTCGCTGACTGCCCTGACAATTAATCTTTCAGACCGGACTGTGCAGAGTGGCCCTAATTGGTTGATGTAACTGTAGCCCCAGCCCCCTGCAGCCCAGCGTGAGAGCTCTGCCCCGTTACATAGGTGGAGGGATGTGTGCACAGCGTCATGTTCTGAAGAGTGCAGGCATCCAGGGCAGCACGGGCCAGCGCAAGCTGCTGGGCTCAGCTCGGGAGCAGCCACCCCACCTTTCTTCTCACTCATCTCCACCAGGCGGGGCTCTCCGATCTCAAGGAAGAAGGTCTTGTTTTTCTCATACTCCTCATCATCAATTACCTTGACTGATACTGTTTTGCTGAAACAGAGAAGAATAGAAATTGACGAACAAGGGGAAGAGGAAAAAGAAGGGACAGAGGATCACAGAGGAAAGCAAGGTTAACACATCGCAGACAAACGGCGGCAGTTGAGAAAGTCTGTACGCTTTAGAGTACTTCAAGACTGGCTATCAGGTAGGCCTGAAAGACGGGAGGGGGCGCACAAGCTCCCTCGTCAGGACCAGAGGATTAATTTGGACCAAGTGTCGTATTCAGTTCTAACAGGTTTATCATCATCATGAGAAGGAAAAGCAGAAAAAACACAGATCACAGTTATAAGGAAAGAAAAGATTACGTTTTTTAGTACGTGTCTTGATCACTGAACTTAGTTATGCCCTATAATTCACTCCTTTAAAACAAATCAATAAATCACAGTGAAATGTTAACAGAGGTTATTTCTGATGGATAGACTCACGGGTCATTTTTTTCTTTCATTGTGCTTTATTACATTTCCAAAGACACTATTTTTATCATAAAATTTTATTAAAATAATAAATGTATAAATACATCATAAAAGAAAATATAAAATCTTTTATCTTACTCCACCCAATGTCCTAGAATCTAACTCACTGGATTAGTCAGATTTTCCATCTACACCAAAACAGAAAGTTGTTCACGTTTTATTTGGCTTTCTAAAGAAGGAAGCAGTGGCCTTGAAAGTGCTATTTTGAAAGTGGGGTCACAATGGCATGTGTGGGGAGGGGTGGGACTCATGATATCGTGGTTAGTTTCAGCCCTCCCAAAGTTGAGTTTTAGTTCTCAGTAAATATGCCATTTACACTGACTTTAAATCCCCTCACACCCCAAGTTGTTTTTCATGAAGGATCCTTCTGCATCCACTGATAGGCCTTGAACAATTTGTCGTTCTTTTGGTTTGCACTAGGATGCTAAAGGAAATAATCCCTGCGCTTTCTGTCTGTCTTTATGGCAGCCCAGATTGAATTGAGGAGTATATCTGTATGGAAAGGGCTGGGGATTTAGCTCAGTGGTTCCGCCACCTGCCATGAAGGATCCTTTCTGTAATCCAGCCTTTAGCAGTTCTTGCCCTACTGTTGGTTGGTTCTGTGGTTGTGGGTGACTGGAATGTAGGTAGGGCAAATTGTAATGTTATGCAAATCCTAACTTCCAGTAAGCATCCTTGATGACTAAATATAAATCAAACTAATGTTGCCTTTTAATTAAATAAACACTTCATGTATTGTAATTTACTCAGGGCCCCCAAAATGCTGATTTTTCTTTGAAAGAAATTTCAATAAATTTGACCAAAGAATGTATGATTAAAATGTTTGAAAAAATAAGTTTGTATAGGCTCAAATGTTTAATAGCATGAACATTCTTTAATCTCGTTGGAGTTTTCTAATTATTCTGGAAGGAAATTAATTTATGGTCTTGTTTTTATTTTATGGATCAAAGCCATCAAACTTCCTTTAGGCCTATGCATGCTAAAGACCTTTTTCTTTTTTCCTGTTAAGAAGAAAGCATGATTAGAATTGCTTTTAGTTCTCTGGATTTCCCAGCTCCTAAAGTCAAGTGCTTAAGCCTCTCTTTCTTGACTCAGTAACATAGAAATGAGATCAAATGACTGGTCTGGTCCTTTGGACGCCCATAATGTAGTCTCTTTTTCCCAGCTAAAGATGTATAACACTAACAGTCCACTTTCTTACTGTTAAGGAATGGGAGTTCATAAAAGTGTCTCCTTTGTATCTCAGCTCTATCCTCAAAGACTAACATTAGGAGAACAACTAAAGGACTAAACGCTAGAACGACTAAAGCAAAGTTATTTATTTTTGAGTCTATATTTACAAAACTACCAACAGCATGACACAGTCCAGTTACACGTATAAAGTGAACAATTCCTGCCTAACATTTAGAATTATTTTCTGGAATTTACCTATTTATTTTGAACATATATAAAATATCAGCCTGATCTGACTAAGTTGGAATATTTAACTGTTTCCTCACATCTGAAAAAATAAAAAAATAGAGGAAGCACAAGAGGATAGATATGCATGACAGGGGTTGATGAGTCTACTATGTCAGAACTTAATTTGATGTTATAAGTTAGATTAAATGTACCGTACAAAAACCTACCAAACATCTCTATGTTATCAAAAAGTCATGCTTTTTAGGCATCACTTTCTATTTTATAGTCTTGTAATACTAAACTTTAGTTATAGAACATCTCTACTAAAGCAACTAGCCTCACCAGACCAACGGAGAGAAATGTGACTGGCACTGGAAGATCCCCGCTGCTGTCCTCAGCCCAGTATTCACTACCAAGGCACTTTATGGTAGGGTACATCAAACTGGAACACACTCACTAGGAGAGAGTCAGGCTGCAACATTCCTTCCTGTATTACTTAAAACATTTGACTTTATTTCCCCACCTTATATTCCCATCACAGTCCACACCTTGTCATGAATTTTATCAGACTACAAAAATATAGAAAGCACAGGTTGGTTGGAGTAAGCTTGTTAGTGGGATGAGTGTCTGTATTGGAAAAAGATCAATTTTATACCTACAGGTCAACATGATAACTTATTCACAAATAAACAGAAACAATCGAAGATGTATTGATTCTCATCTTTTGAGAATATCCTACAATTCAGTCTTACATTGCTGTACTAGCTTTATTTTCTACATTCTGAATAGCTGATGTACATGAGAAATAGAGTTATACAGCCCCATACAATTTGTTTGTATAATAAAATAAGTATATTTTATCATTACAGTATCACTAGAATCACAATCCTTAGAAAATATTTTAGTACTGGACAACTATGGCCATGAAAATGAAAGATGAAGGCAAAAAGTACATTTGTAGGTGCCTTGTAAAGACATCTAAAAGAGGAGACATTTGCATGATAGCATATCATTTCAAAATCATTACTCATCTAATCAATAGGGCCTCTGACAGGAGTAGCCATGAAATTATGTATTGATTTAGCTTGTGTTGCACAGAAAAGCTATTAATAGGAAATGTGATTATTAAAGGACTTCCCAGTCACTCAGAAGTGGCAAGATGGAGTCAATCCTTATGAATTAACCTTATAAACGAAGAGAGGCAAAACCAGAGGCACTGTAGTGTTCAACTTTGTCTCAAGAGCACAACTATATATTTCTTCCCAAGCAAAGGTGAAACTGACCAGTGTCAGTTTGAAAGGAACACATCTTCGACACATCTTCCTTGCATTTTATGGTGCCTAATGGATGAAAACCTGATGCCATTTCTATCAAAGGGGATGTTACTTGAGCTGTTGATCTAGTGAAAACTCCAGGCACAGAGGCTGGATGTCTTGGCTCCTCACAGCTCCACATTAGAATAGAATCTGGAGGGAACCTGAAGGTCATCCAGTCTGCTTCATTGCTACAACCAGCAGATTGTCACAGGGACTCCATCTCCCTGAGAACAGATCCACTTTGGCTCTTCTGTTCTATTTTACCAGTGGGAAGTATTCAGATAGGTGTTATTTAAGTTCACGTTAGAACAACATCAAAAGACTGGAACAGCTAGGTAGACGTAGCCCTTCAAATATAACTGCTGTATTATTATTGCACTGGTAAGAAAAGAATAGGAAGCTGGTATGAGACAATTTTCAACTACCATAATTATTATAAAGAAGGTAAAGAAAACTCACTTGATTTTTTAATGTAACTACTTAAAGTTAACACTGTACTATAAAATCACATTTATAATATAGGCATTACAAATCTTAGGATACATTAAAATATTTCTCAATATAGCCAAAGTTTGTATGTAAGTTCATTTTGGTTACATTAAAAAGAAAGAAAAAAGAATTTGGCTAGAAAAGATCAGTCTATTTAGTGAAAAGATACAGATTATTCTTTTTGTTTTGTTTCATTTCTGCTTTTTTTGTTTTTTTTTTCTGAGACAGGGTCTTGCTTCGTAGTTCAGGCTGGCCCTGAACTCACTATGTAGCCCAGGAGGGCTTGGAACTCATAGCAATCCTCCCGCCTTTGCCTCCCAAGTGTTGGGATTACAGGCGTGTACCACCATGCCGGGCCAGAATATTCTTTTTGATCTTTGCAGTACCTTTTTCATGACATGATGCTAAACTCAAATCTGTACTTCACTTTTAAGTCTCTCTCTAATCTGATGGGTCTCAAAGAACCCAAACCCTTCAAACAGACTAAGAGGCCCTATATCTGGTGGTGACCCAAACAGTGAAGAAGCAAAGACATAGCTTTGTTAGAGGGGGCTGAAAATACAATCTCTCCAAAATTTGTGTTAGTCTCTGGTCATTAAGCTGAAATGGTATCATGATCTCTTTTTCAATTTAAACCTCCATTTTTCTCTTGTTTTTCCTTTTTTTTGGTACCGGGGATCGAACTTGGGTCCTTGAGCTTGTGCACCAGGCGGCGAAACCACTGAGCTAAATCCTCGGCCCGAAACCTCCATTTTTTTCTACTGTGGCTTCTTTTCTCTGAGATTGCTTTTAATACTGACAAAGATGAGAAGAAGATGAGTTGGAGGATCAATGAGAAGACTTTTCTAAATCCACACACAAAAGATTTTAGTGAGGATTCACACAGATGCTGTGATGGCTTTTTTTGTTTTTGTTTTTGAAAGATTTACCTCCTCTTTAGTCATACCCAGAAGTCAATGAAATGGTGTGCACTTTGCATTTCTTAATTCATGGAGGATCTTCCTAACAACCTCAGAAATGATTCATACTGCTTATAGTTTACAGAGGAAAAAAATGACTCAGTAGCTTCCCAGGTCACAAGATAGGTCCCACAACTGGCTCCAAGGACCAGGACTTTTGAATGTGTGGCCCACAGTCAATCCCCAGCTTCCTTATGTATTCAACTCTGCAGTATTTTTATTATTTTTATGACCACTTTAAAGGATCTGAATTATTATCTTGTTAATGTACAGATTTATTATTTTATCTGTACATTAAAAAGACTGAATAATGATAGAATTTCAATTTTATTTATGAAAAGACTACAGTATAT